GAAAGCAGTGGCAGAAAGGTAAGCGTTATGTTTTATTTTATAGCCACACCTGTCATTTTTTCTGCACCGTTTTCAGTGAAAAAATAGTTATTGAAATGATATAACCAGACTTACCTTAGAAGTTCTCAGTGCTGTAAGGCATTGCACCGCAACGGCCTCGCTCTGGTCCAAGAATTGGACAGAATTATGCTGAATGTTTTGCAAAACGCCAAAGGAACACATTGGAATTGTTCATTATAGACAGGAATTTGTTATGTCGACGTTTTTTAATATACCTTTACTATAATTAAATGACAGTCGATGTTTTTAGAAATGGTCGATTCCAAAAGGGGTTTTTCGTTTTATGTGTATTGTTCCCTTATCCGATGTTGACAGTTGTATACTGTAGCAGTTGAAAATAATAAACACGCTTATGGATGGTGTTTTGAAGTTTGCAGTTTTGATCTTTGGGATTTATTTTTTTCTTTCACAGAGGCTACCAATTTATTAAAGATCACCTTCGAATGCAGGATATACGGTGTTACTGGAAGAAGCTGCTGAAGAACTACGCTAAACTAATGCAGTGGAAACCGAAAAGAAACTCTGCATTCCAAGAAATAAAACCCTAGGCATTACAAATGCATATGGAAACTTTTAGGATATAGAGTACTTTCTTTCCATTGTCCTAAGAAGTGTTTTCTGAACGCTGATTGGTTTATGAAACTCGTGTAACGCGCACCGACCAATCATAGTTTAGGTAATATCTTTTCAGCCAATCAGAATCAAATCCAATCAATCGCCCTTGGCGTTTGCGATTTTTCCCGCGCTAAACGCTGGCTACACATTTTTCTTCGTCACTTCCTCAAAAGCGTTCTCTGAGCGCTGATTAGTGTATGAAATCCGTGTAACGTGTGCACTGACCATTCAGAGTAAAGGTGATGTATTTGCAGCCAATCAAATTCAAGTCCAATCAATCGGCGCGCTTTGGCGTACGTGATTTTTCCCGCGCTTAAATGCCAGCTACATATTTTTCTTCGTCACTTCTGATTACTCTGTTACGAATTCCTACATTAGTTAGTATTTTTGTAATTGCACTATTTATTGAAAGAGGGCCATATTTAAGTGCTGCTGATGCAAATGTCACTGAGCCACTAAAACGATACACATTGTATTTCAGTATTAAAAAATATATTAAATGCTCTAAATGTCACTTTTTACTTTTGTAATTTGTAGCCAGTGTCAAAACATGCTGGACGGTAAACAGATCTAGCTCTCAGTTAATTTACGTGGACCAAACTTCTCGAGCCAGGGATTTTTCCGTCCGCCCTTCGACTCGGGAAGAAAAGTACGCCCGCCGATTCGAGACGCACATGTGTCAAAGCAGTTTCAGTTAGCGAGGGGCGTACGGCATAACCTCGAGCCACGGAACTGAGAAAGCTCTGGATTGATAGGGAATTCAAATCGATTCTTGACAAGTTTAAAGATATTAGATCAAAGGTTCCCACTGACAAAAGACGAAAAAAAGCTGTTGCTAGTGATATTGAAAAATTTGGTCCGAAACCTTTTTCGAGCAATTTTTTTGGCTTGCGTGTCTGGTAGTCATTCTGGAAAGTGATAAGAACACAGCAGACATTTCCCAGAATAAATAAAACGTTTTTGCTTTCGAGGAAAACGTAGGTGCATAACTTTGCGATAAATATGACCACTTGCGAAATATAATAAAGAAGAAATAACCGCAGGGTAACAGGATGACACCCTTTGAAACGAAATATTAAAATTCATGAAGGGAAATGAAGACTGCATTATTAGTCAAGTAAATTCACGCTAAAAAATATTCACAACACGCGAACCTATGTTTTGATATGCTAAATCCTCTCGCGACAAACTTTCATCGTCTCATGTATGGATAACCAGTTTCACAGATTGTTCAAAAAGCAAGCTGTTCATAACACGCAAACCTGTAATTTCTTTTCACGGAAGCCACTCGTGAAGCGTTCGTAAGGAAACTGAAATGTTATGACTGATATGGTAAATCCTACCGCAACAAACCTTCATCATCTCATACATGCGGATCGCTCCAGTTAACAGTTTGTTAAAAAAAAAAAAGAAAAAGAAAAAGCTTCGTCGCCATCTTCTTTCAAGCCGATCACATCCACAATATCATGGAAGCTTTCAAGAACTACCTTGTAGGCAAATCCTGCAACCTAAAGGAAGAAATTGAGAAGTTACCA